TTATCCTTTTTGTACCAGGAATTGTGGAAAGAACATGTTCAAGAGCAGAGCAATCACAGTTATTTGGCAATTCATTAGAGAATTCCCTCAACCAAACAACTGAATTCCTCCCTCTAACTAATTGCGACGAAATCTTCTCTTTCAATCAGAAATCCAATCCCTAACCTCTTCGTCATTTCGGTCCAACCCGTAAAGAACATTGTTTTGGTAAAAGCCCTCCATAAACAAACACAGATTCACCAACAACTAGAACAGTCAAGTTTTTAGCAAGAAATCTACTAGAAATAGGACCATTAGGATGCAATGCAGCTATTCTAGCTTTAATACCATCATATGTTCATAGCAATGTAATTAGAAACGAGTTGACCGTTAGCTATATATATAAATGCCACTCGCAGGACTGAGTCCAATCTTTCTTATAATCAAACAAGGGGGTGGTGTAAGTCCAAGTTTTTCATCTATTCCGTGTAATGTATTTGTGATTGGTTCAAACCACATACTACGGAGGAAACTTATTTGTTATTTAAAGTCTGAATAGCTAAAATTTTCTTTAGTCAATCTATTTGAAGGGAAATTATTCAAAACGTTAAATCTGAACGTTGGTGGAAGTTATGAATTCTACGAAAGAATAATAAATCAACTTTGAATTCATTAGCAAAAGAATTCTAAAATATTATTTGACTTTGTACATTTGTATGGAATTGGAGTTTTGAAATTGAAATTTGTAAAATTGGAAAGAAAAAAAAATTTGATTCAATTTTATCAGTTGTTTTTCTCTAATTTCACAAATTTCAATTACAAAACTCCAACTCCATGCAACCGAATATACCCTTAATGAAGTTGTATTTTGCTTGGCACTATCCAAAAAAAATAAAAAATAACATCATATGTCCGTAGCAATGTAATTAGAAACGAGTTGACCGCAACAATAATTTAGAAAGCAACATATGTGACAGACAGCTAAGAAATCATCCTGTCCCTCAATGCATATGATATTCATGAAAAGAATAAAAAACATATTTTGCTTGGCACTAGCAAAAATTAAAAATAACATCATATGTTGATGGCAATGGAATTAGAAACGGGTAGAATGCAACAATAGTTTAGAGAGACCCCCGGGGGCATAGTAATGATGGTTAGAGCTTGGGCTTTCACATTCGAGGCTCGAGTTCGACTCCTAACCTCTGCGTTCCCGGACTCACCCGAAGGTGTCCTTGGGCAGGGCTCCACCCCCAGGTTTGTACCCCACGGTGGGTCCCTAAGGGGCCCTGCGTGGGGGAGTTCCTGAGTCATCAAAAAAAAAAAAAAAAAAAACAATAGTTTAGATAGCAATATATGTGACAAATAACTCACTGAGTAATGGGACGAGGTGTCTATGTCGGAGACGATTGATGATGGTCTCGGCTAAGAAATCATCTCCCTTAATGCTCTCCCTGGAGAACCACTTCATGGCCACCTCCAAATTTTCACCCGGTAACAAACCTTTATACACCACACCAAAACCACCTTCACCCAATTTATTCTTTTCATGAAAATCGTTGGTGACTTTCTTCAAATCCTTAAACTGAAACTCCCTAGGCATCCCGGGCAAGCTCTTCATAGCCTCGAGGATGTCTAGGTCGGTTCGCGCCAACCTCCTCCTATAAAAGTAAAAGCTCAAACCCATGGCTGCAATCAATGAAAGCGCCACACCGGGGACCCCAGCCGCGAGGACGATTGTCAAACGCTCATTGTTGTCCTCATTTTCAGGATAGTAGTCAACCACCGTCAGGTTCCATCTGCGCACGCAGTTCAACTGGGTGGTGTTGCCAGTTGAAGCTGTAAATCCGAAATAAGAAGACTGGGCTACCCAATCTCTGAGGTCGAGATCCGATTTCAGCATCGGAGAGGATGGCCTAGCAGGTGTGGGACCATCCTGTGAAGCTTGCTCTATGTACACCTCAATGGTCTTGTCGATGCCGTCGTACTGGACCCAAACATTGTAAAACTTGGCTACTGGTTCTGAAGGAACGAGTTGAATGTCATGTAAAGACACGGTCTTGTTAGACCGCACACTGTTGATGTTTAGGCCGATATGGTTATCATCCGGGTCGAAGTCGTCCTGCCACCAAATGGTTGGTGGAGTTGCCATCGGTAGTGGAGTTTGTCAAGCCCATGTGCTGGCCCTCGCTTCCGAGAGGTATGGCCTTCTCCGGGAAAATCCCGAAGGCCAGACCTTCGCCCGGGGTGGGCGAATTATTCAGCCAATGGGTGTTGATGAGAAAGGAGGAGTTGAAGGATGCAACTCGGGACGAATTGGACGAGTGAACTTCATGATCGTCCTAGAGCTTGAAAGTTCGATTGAGAAGCACTCTACCTGACCGATTGAAGAGGCTGACAATGCCATTGCCGGCCGAGTCGGGGGTGACTTGAAGGGCATCGTGGTGGATGGCCGCAGGGGGTTGGATCGCGAAATTGTGCTTGTTGGAATCGTTAAACGAATCGAATTGGACTTGAAAATTTTGTGATCTGAAAACTATCTCTGCCGAGAAACAGAGGAGGAGGGGGAGGATTGTGACAACCTTCGTAGTCAGGCCCATGATGTATTGAACACCCAGCGAAATCGGAAATGGAGATTGACGAGTACTCAAGAGAATACATAGAGAGAGTTGGTTTTGAATTGAGGTTTCATGCTTCAACATTACTCGGAACTCGCGCTCTTGCGATAGTTTGGACTCCGTCAACAAAACCCATGGAAAAGAATTTCGCGCCATTCGGAGAAAGAGTATTTGATAGTACTTCCAAATCATATACCAAGATTATGTTTAGCATTCAAATTTGGCGTAAGATAAGATTCTCGCCCATTATATATTAAATTATTCCGTAAACGAAAGAAAATTATGTTCAGGCAAATTAATTCGACTTATATATCATATCAAAGTGATTAATTAAGAGTGTTTTTTAAATTATTTTGCGTAAACAAATAGAACTTAGGGTTTCACAACCCTACTCATTTCTGTCTTGCGAACAACTCTCTCCAACAAACTTTTACAAAAATCTCAAGTTACCCTAAAGTTAATTGTGGGATTATTAGATTTTCTTATTTAATTTTTGCATTATTATTTAATGAGGACTATAGCTAATAATGGTGTATAACAATCTGTGTGTCAACTATCAAGCCAATGGTGAGGGTATATATAAGGGGATGATATGATTTTAGAGTCATTCCGGGTAATGCAATTGATTGTACAGTAGTATATATATATATATATATATATGACTAGTCTTTGGCTGACAGGACCTGCCTTCGAGAAAATAAGAATATATCCCTAAAATGTCATAGGTCAATTAATTAATATGTCAAAACATCAAAGTCACATAGGAATCACATGCTTTGATTTTTAAGAATCTAATATTTTTAAGAGAATAATTTTTATTATTATTTTAATATATTAATAGTGAATGAATTATCAAATTTATTTGTATGTAATAATGTGATTGTTTCATATTTCTAAGTTAAATTAGAAATATTACAAAAATAGTATGTTGACTAATTAAGAAAATTGTAAAGAATTTATTTAGTAGCAAATTTAACATTATTCCAAAACAAAACTTATGCTTAATAGAAGTATATGGACTTGAGTTCAGGCCCAAAGTTATAGTACAGAATATGGGTACTAGAATTCTCTTATTCAAATGGGCACTTCAACTGGGTCAGCAATTGTCTCCGGCTGCCCTAAAAGAACCCAGAGAACCAAAAATTATGGACCCACTTTTCAATATTGGATACGCAGGCCCAAATACGTGGATTGAGCCCATAATTTGCTTTTGTTTTGGCCCATTTGGACGAGCCCATCCCGACTTCAAGTTTATCTTAGCGGATGATCAACTTTAATTCATATCAATGTCTTTATACATGCCTCAACAATCAAGCCAACCCTTTCTTAATCTCTATTTTCTCTATTGATTAATTCTTGTTATGTATTTCATTACTTATGTTTTATCCATTCTTAGCTTTATTATTATATTATTTAAGTTAATATTAATATTATTGAATTATTATCTTGTTAAATTCATGTTTAGTTAAATTCATATTGTTCAAATGATGTATCATTTAGTGTAATGAAAGCATGTTATTTCATTTTATACTAATGTAATTGTTCCTTGTTTTAATTCATTGTGTTATGAATAAAGTTGATGTATTGCTATTTGTATTATTTACACATTGCCTCAACAATCAAGCCAATCCTTTCTTAACCTCTATTTTATCTATTGATTAATTCTTGTTATGTATTTCATTACTTATGTTTTATCCATTCTTAGCTTTATTATTATATTAATAAGTTAATATTAATATTATATTACCGAATTATTTATCTTGTTAAATTCATATTTATTGTTATATTCATATTGTTCAAATGATGTATTATTCAGTTTAATGAAAGCATGTTATTTCATTTTTTTTATTAATGTAATTGTTCCTTGTTTAATTCATTGTGTTTTGAATAAAGTTCATGTATTACTATTTGTATTATTTATAAAAGATATGGAATTTCCACAACACCATCTACTTACTTAATTAAGCTTTTAGGTTTGACTGTGAAGCATTCACCTAAGTAAGTTGGGTGGCCCTACTGCAACACTCTCATTGCGAAATCAAGTTTGGGAGAATGTTACAAGGAAATCGCGTCCCACATAGCACTACCTAATTTTTGGGCAGCTTGTTTGCCATAGCTAATAATGAGGCTATGGTGGGGAGAAGTAGAGTCTAAACTCCCGTATTTTTACCTTGCTCATTTTTTAACCAGAATGACATCTAATCCGATGATATAATCTCTTCATTCTCACTGAGAAAAGAATGAGTTGTAGTCTGAGAAAAAGTATATTCCCCTGTGTTAATTTCTTGTCATGGAAAAAAAAAATCTTTTAATAAATGTATGGTGTATAACACAGTCCATAGCGTCAACTGTGAAAGCAATGAGTACAAGGGAATGTGTTAGAATATATATTCAAGCCAAGAATGGATTACATGATTTTAGAGTAATTCTGGTAATTGATTGTACTATGACTTGTCGTTGGCAAACAGGACCAGTCTTCAAGAAACTAAGAATCTGCTTATAAAAATGTCACATAATAATTAATTGAGTGTCCCCTGTGTCATCACATCAAGGTCACTGCAAGGAATCATATTCTGTAAAGGTCTAAAGTGTTTTTTTTTTTTCAGCTACAGAGTGATTGTGTTCTCTCGGGCTCAGCCATTTCGAAATTTTATTTTATTAATTTACCAAATTATTGATGACAACAATACTAAAAGAATGAGATATATATAGTGATATTTATTTTGGTTATTATTACCGTGACAATTATCATGATGTCATATTGACAAGAATTGCATCGTTGCCTTAAAATGTTCCCAAAAAAAAATCCAAAGTAAATTACTTGCTCTACAATATTCTGTAGTATTTACATATGTCATCTCTAACCAATAAACATATATAAACCTCTCAATCTTTGATGTATCAAAATAAATTGAGAGTTTCTATAACTATTCAATGACGGGGACATTACATGTATAATATACCTCTAGGGTATTGTAGACTACACAAGTCACAACTCTCTCGGTTATGGATAGAGTTGTCGAGACCAACCAGACCCCAAGTGAGAGGTTGTAATGGTTTCATGGATCATAATGGCGGAACTAATATCTTCTCCTCCCATCCCCACCACTGCTGGCCAAACGAAAGGTGGTTTGAATGGCGGCACATAAGGCACCTGGACAGACTCCGACAAAATCTTAACAATCTCCTTCATATCCAACCTCTCATTCGCCATCGGATGGCAACATGACAGCCCTAAAAGCAGAACCCTCTCGGCTGCCTCCGCCACATAATTTACCCCAAGCCTCTTATCCACCGCCTCTAGTAGGCGGCCATCACGGTGCAAGTACCACACCCAATCAACCAAGTATTGAAATGCACCTATCCTAGTGCCAGGCCTTAGGCCAGACACTACTTCAAGCAACACTGCTCCAAATGCATACACATCCGATTGTTGTGTTGCTTTGGCCGTGAGAAAGCACTCGGGGGCAATGTAGCCTGCTGTTCCAATCACGCCTGCAGCATCGGTGTATGAATTCTTCTCGTGGTCGAGGGCACGAGCTAGGCCAAAGTCACCTAGCCGGGCATTGAAGTTGGAGTCAAGCATGATGTTGCTGGCCTTGAGGTCGCGGTGGACCACCTTCTGATTAAAATCGTTGTGGAGGTAATGCAGAGCTGAGGCCAGTCCCGAGATGATCTTGTAGCGGAGGTTCCAGCTTAAGGGCTGGTCGTTGGCACTGTTGCCGAAGAGGTGCTTGTCCAGGCTGCCATTAGGCATGTATTCATATAGCAAGAGGAGCTTCCCGTTCTTGTGGCACCATCCTGCGTGACATAAACACACATTATTACTCTATCTATGCACTGCATGTATGACTTGGCCAAAGGCAAACTTGATATAGAAATAATCACTAGGAAGCTAACGACACCCAAATTCTGCATTATTTAATTATGCAACAACACTAGGCAGATTAGGTTTTGTTAGTACCGATTTTATAATATATATATATATATATGGGTCAAGTATAGAAAACACCTAGGTACTATGTTCACATTGCATATCGCATCTTTCGCGTGCAAAAAATATTATCAAATTTGTGCAAATAGTACCAACGTATTTAAAGTAGAGTTAAACTAAAATGCCCTTACTTTGACATTTTATAAAAAAATATTAAAAAAATATTATTTTGTAAAATGACTTAAAGGACTTTGTGCAACCAACCACAAAAGGTTAATATGCTACTAATCTCATAGTAGAGGGGGGTATTATGTTCACATGAAATGCAATATATATATATATATATATTGGAATTATTGAATTCTTTATAATTGTTACTTTTGGAATTATTGAATTCTGATTCTTTACCAAAATTATTACACATGAAATGCAATAATAAATAAATTATTTTTTATTTATACCCTCAATATATATATATATATATATATATATATATATATATATATATATATATATTTATTTATTTATTTATTTATTTATTTATTTTGGCACGATTTTTGTATTTAAGCTAGGACTCTTTATATTGAACTAAAAAAGAATTTCAAATGAGATTGAATTTAAAAATATATATCATAGAAAATTTTCGACAATTTTATACCCGGAATAAATAAAAAATTAATTATTGCATTTCATGTGGAATAATTTAGTAATAATTCAGAATTCAATAATTCCAAAAATATATACATATATTGCATTTCATGTTCACATAACATCCCTCTATTATGAAATTAGTAACATATATACCTCCTTAGGCATTTTCGAAAGAATAAAAGGACAAAATGGGTATTACTACACTAATTTATTTCAATTTTTTAATTGAGGGATATTTCCGCACCATGTGAAAAAACAGAGATGCTTTTTACACAGTTGTTAAACTAGAAAATAAAAATATTACACCAAGTATACATTAGGGTATTTTTTATACTTATCCCTATATCTATACTATTATTAAATGTGCAAAGTGTTTCAGTATTTCAGTATTTATTTATTAATTGATATAAATTCTATAACACTCAAAATTACCTAATAAAATTCAAATTAACAAAATATAAAAAGAGTTTAATTCAAATTACAAAGTCCCGCATCAGTTTTAAATAAAAAGGATTACATGAAAGCCTCTTATAAAGCTATAGAGCTAAATAAAAAATAATCACACCTTCTCGGCCTTTTGTCTAAGATCAAATATAGTACTAAATTTTTTTGGGTCGGCCTTTTGGCTAACCTTTCTTGATATTTTGGCTAAGATCAAGTGTAGTACTACTTTCTCGGCCTTTGGGCAAGGAGTTTTAGTTTTTATTTATTAATTGATATAAATTCTATAAAATTCAAAATTACCTAATAAAATTCAAATTAACAAAATATGAAGAGAGTTTAATTCCCAATAAAGAACTCTCATTAAAAATTACCTAATAAAATCATGCAAAGTGTTTCAGTATTTATTTATCTATATAAAAAAATATTTATTAATTGATATAAAAATAGTTTTTGTAAAAATAGTTTCTATAAAACTCTAAAAATTACTTAATAAAATCAATCACATTCTATTAATCCAAGAAGCCTATAAATAGAGGCATGGAGGAAGGAGGAAGGGGTATAGAAATTGAGAATTCTAGAAATCCAGAATTCCAGAGTAAAATACAGAAACTCTGCCAAAGAGTTTTAGTATTTATTTATTTATATAAAAAATATATTTATTAATTGATATAAAAAGAGTTTTTATCTATACTATTATTAGATTAGATGTGCAAAGAGTTTCAGTATTTAAGTACAAATTACCTATTTATCTATTTATTATGAGTTTTTTAATAAAAGTAAATCTAATTAGACAACAATTATTAAAATAAAAAATATTTATTAATTGAAAATTACCTAATAAAATCATACAAAGTGTTTCTGTATTTTAGTATTTATTTATTTATATAGAAAAATATTTATTAATTGATATAAAAATAATTTTTGTAAAAATAGTTTCTATAATACTCTAAAAATTACCTAATAAAATCAATCACATTCTATATAAAACAGTCTTATTAGGTTTCTGGATCCAAGCAACAGTTTGAACGAGAAATCCACGTTCACAAAGACCATGATGCTAACGCTTTTTCCTTTTTTTCTTTTTTTAATATAACATTGAAAATTTTAGATGTGACAAAACATTCTACCAATCCTGAACTAAAAAAGTAACGAAGACTGTCTTTTTAATATTTCTGTTCGTATGTTGTATTTCTTTTCTAAAGTCCTAAATAGTAATCCCATAAATTTTATGAGTTCAAGTTAATCTATTAATATATGTGCATTATTTTCATTTGGATTATTTCTTTTCAAATGTTCTATAAACTGCCATAATTTTTGAACTCAAATTACTTCTTATGTTTTTTCTTACATAAGGTACATTACTATTGTTTTCATTAATTAATATTCTTCACCTTTTGAGATTCTGAGTTTTTACCTTTTGAGATTCTAAGTTATATTTGTGTGTGAATCCGATTCCAAAGGAAGCATAGTAGATACTTTAATGAGTCATATTATTACATGTCCGTGATTAATTAGGAGATGTCTATACGCATTAAAAATTTTCTGCATAGAGATTTTGTTTGTATATCTATGAGTCAACATCCACTTCTACCGGTCAACAAATCTGACCAAACGGGATATTGATTTCCCAGCTTGATTCACTGCCTAAATTGGAAGGAAAAGGGTAGATCAGAAAGCCCTTTGAGTCCTCCCTCCGTATTCTCAAATTCTTATGAGTTATCGTAGAAGTGATAAAATTTAAGTCACACATAGTAAAATCAGGAACAAGAAAGTGCGTGAAATGCGAGAGTAGGAACATGTTTAACACCTATTTAAAAAAAATGTATGACTTAAATTTGTCACATCTCTCTCACAATTGTTTTCATATTCAAAATGTAATCGTATACTGACTAAATGATAATATAGGTTTAATCTTTCACTTCCCATGCATCAAATTGTCTTATTTAAAAGCTAAGTGCAATGTCAGTATTTTCATTGTAGTCACACGGTATCTTTGGATCTCTTCTGACCAAGGACAACGACCTTTGGTTTATATAATCTGATGGTTGTATTGCAAATTCACATTTCTCATTTTAGTATCAATAAAACCATTTTTTTTTTTTTTTTACTGTTTTAAATTTCTTAATCGAACATTATCAAAAAAAATCTATATCTATATATAAATAAAGATTTAAAATTTGGTGAATAAAAAATAAGATAAATAGTTTTATATATATATATATATATATATATATATATATATATATATATATATATATATATTAAATGTACAAAGTGTTTCAGCGTTTCAGTATTTCAGTATTTATTTCTTAATTAATATAAATTTTTTTGGGTCGGCCTTTTGGCTAATCTTTCTTGATCTTTTGGTTAAGATCGAGTGTAGTACTACTTTCTCGACCTTCGTGTAAAGAGTTTCCGTATTTATTAAATGTGTAAAGTGTTTCAGTGTTTCAGTACTTCAGTATTTATTTATTAATTGATATATAGTCTATAACACTCAGAATTACCTAATAAAATTAAAATTAATTCAAATTAACAAAATATAAAAAGAGTTTAATTCAATTTACAAAGTCCCACATTGATTTTAAATAAAAAGAATTACATGAAAGCCTCTTATAAAATTATAGAGCTAAAGAAATAATAATCACACCTTCTCGGCCTTTTGGTTAAGATCAAGTGCAGTACTAATTTTTTTTGGGTCGGCCTTTTGGCTAACCTTTTTTGGTCTTTTGGTTAAGATCAAGTGTAGTACTACTTTCTCGACCTTTGTGCAAAGAGTTTCAATATTTATTTATTAATTGATATAAATTCTATAAAACTCAAAATTACCTAATAAAATTCAAATTAATTCCAATTAACAAAATATAAAAAGAGTTTAATTCACAATAAAGAACTCTCATTAATTATTATATCCCATGATATAAATTCTATAAAACTCAAAATTACCTAATAAAATTAAAATTCAATCTATAATCAATTATGCTTGACCAAATGGTTCATATATTAAATTATTTGTCAATTTTCATATTTTTAATTTAATAAAATCCTTGATGTAAATGAGTCGTGAGTTTATTACTGTAACCCACACTAAAAATGATATCTTGGAAATTTATTTATAAAAAAAAATATTTATTAATTGATATAAAAAGAGTTTTATCTATACTATTATTAGATGTGCAAAGAGTTTCAGTATTTAAGTATTTATTTATTTATATAAAAAATATTTAAAACACTAAAATCAACATAATAAAATTGAAATTAACATATTTATCTATTTATTATTATGAAATTTTTAATAAAAGAAAATCTAATTAGACAATAATTATTAATATAAAAATATTTATTAATTGATATATAAAACAAAATAATTTTTCTAAAACTCTACCATAAATTAGCTTTTATTATGAGTTCTTAGTAAAATTAAATCTAATTAGACAAGGATATATTTAAAGAAAATAAAATAATTTCTATAAAACTCTATCACAAATTACCTATTTTATTTTCAATAAAACTATATCACACTAGACAAAGATATATTTAAAGAGTTTCTCGTTCCATTCGATCTTTTAGGTCCCGACTTCACCTCGACAGTTATGCCACGATGTCTTTAAAGCCTATATGCGATGGATAGACTCCTGTAACCATGACATATTTGCTATTTGCTTACTTGAACAGAAACATAATTTCTTTCGAAAAGAAAGAAAATGGTTAATTCCACAAAAGAAAGAAGTCTTTTTTTACGAGGTACAACTAGAAATTCCTATTTAAAGAGTTTTATTTAATTATATACAAAAATATTTACTATTTGATATAAAAAGAGATTTTATCTACACTATTATTAGATGTGCAAAGAGTTTCAGTATTTAAGTACAAATTATTTATTATATAAAAAATTATTTATTAATTGATATAAAAAGAGGTTTTTAAAGAGTTTCTTTAAAACTCTAACACAAATTACTTATTTATCTATAGATTATGAGTTTTTTTAATAAAAATAAATCTAATTAGACAATAATTATTAAAATAAAAAATATTTATTAATTAAAAATTACCTAATAAAATAATGCAACGTATTTCAGTATTTATTTATTTATATAAAAAAAATATTTATTAATTGATATAACAATAATTTTTGTAAAAATAGTTTCTATAATATTTGAAAAATTAACTAATAAAATCAATCACATTCTATATAACACCATGTCAGTTATGATTATGTAATTATCAGAAAAGAACACATGTCATCATCCTACTAATCCAAGAAGTCAATAAATAGAGGCATGGAGGAATGAGAAAAGGGTACAGAAATTGAAAATTCTAGAAATCCAGAATTCTAGAGTAAAATACAAAAACTTTCCAAAGAATTTCAGTATTTCAATATTTATTTATTCATATAAAAAAATATTTATTAATTAATATAAAAAGAGTTTTTATCTATACTATTATTAAATGTGCAAAGAATTTAAGTATTTAAGCATTTATTTATTTATATAAAAAATTATTTAAAAAACTAAAATCTAGATAATAAAATTTAAATTAACCTATTTATCTATTTATTATTGTGAATTTTTTAATAAAAGAAAATCTAATTGGACGATAATTATTAATATAAAAAAATATTTATTAATTGATATATAAAATAAAATAATTTTTCTAAAAGTCTACCACAAATTAGCTTTTTGTATGAGTTTCTTAATAAAATTAAATCTAATTAGACAATGATATATTTAAAGAAAATAAAATAATTTTTATAAAAATCTATCACAAATTACCTATTTTATTTTCAATAAAACTCTATTACACTAAACAAAGATATATTTAAAGAGTTTATATAAAACTCTAACTCAAATTACCTATTTATCTATTTATTATGAGTTTTTTAATAAAAGGAAATCTAATTAGACAAGTATTATTAATATTAAATATTATTTATTAATTGATATAAAAAGAGATTTTAAAAGAGTTTCTATAAATCTCTAATACAAATTACCTATTTATCTATTTATTATGAGTTTTTTTTTAATAAAAGTAAATCTAATTAGACAAGAATTATTAAAATAAAAAATATTTATTAATTGCAAAAGTACCTAATAATATGAATCACATTCTATATAAAGCTCTTATTTTTAGTTCAATATAAAGAGAATAGTTAGTTTTTATGAATAATTATCACAATATAACCGGCCCACTCAGTTATGATTATGTCATTATCATAAAAGGACACATGTCATAATTCTATTAATCCAAGAAGGTTATAAATAGAGACATAGAGGAAGGGGTACAGAAATTAAAAATTCTAAAAATTTAGAATTACATAGCAAAATAGAGAAGCTCTGCCAAAGAGTTTCAGTATTTATTAAAAAGAGTTTTTATCTATAGTATTATTATATGTGTAAAGAGTTTCAATATTTTTTTATTTATATAAAAAAAATATATAAACACTAAAATCTACATAATAAAGAGTTTCTATAAAACTCTAACACAAATTACCTATTTAACTATTTATGGTGAGTTTTTTAATAAAATGAAATATAATTAGACAAGTATTACTAATATAAAAAATTATTTATTAATTGATATAAAAAGCAGTTCAAAAGAGTTTCTATAAAAAAAACTCTAACACAAATAACCAATTTATCTATTTATTATGAATTTTTTAATAAAAGTAAATCTAATTAGACAATAATTATTAAAATAAAAATATTTATTAATTGATATAAAAATAATTTTTAAAAGATTTTAAGTTAAACTCTAATACAAATTACCTATTTATTTATTTACTATAAGTTTTTTAATAAAAGAAATTCTAATTACACAAGAATTATTAATATAAAAAATATTTTTTTAATTGATATAAAAAATAAAATAATTTTTCTAAAACTCTATCACAAACTACATTTTATTATGAGTTTTTTTTTCTTTTTTTAATAAAAGCTAATCTAATTTGACAAGAATTATTAAAATTTAAAAATATTTATTAATTGATATAAAAAGAGTTTTTAAAAGAGTTTCTATTAAACTCTAACACAAATTACCTATTTATTTATTTATTATAAATTTTTTAATAAAAGAAAATCTAGTTAGACTAGAAAACCTCTACCACAAATTGCCTATTGTATTTTCAATAAAATTATAATACATTAGGCAAAGATATATTTTAAGATTTTCTATAAAAACTCTAATCGAAATTACCTATTTCTCAATTTATTTTGAGTTTTTTAATAAAAGGAAATCTAATTACACAAGTATTGTTAATATAAAAAAAATTTATTAATTGATATAAAAAGAGGTTTTAAAAGAGTTTCTATAAAACTCTAACACAAATTACCTATTTATTTATTTATTGAAATCTAATTAGACAAGAATTATTAATTTAAAAAATATTTATTAATTGATATAAAAAAAGTTTCTATAAAATTCTAACACATATTATCTATTTATTATGAGTTTTTTTTAATAAAAGAAAATATAATTGAACAAGAATATTTATAAAGAAAATAAAATAATTTTTATAAAATCTACCACAAATTAGGTGTTTTATTTTCTATAAAACTCTATCACATTATCTACAAAACATTAAATACGTGCATCGCACGTGTCTTTTCCTAGTATGTATATATATATATGTATGTATATATATATATATATATATATATATTTTAACAAGAAACTTCCAGTTTAGCTATTTAATCTATCTAAATTTTAGTGTATAGATCATAAATTTAACATTTTAAAGTGATCATATAGGATAATAACCCATTGCTTAATTTTGTTATTAATCTAATGGCTCAAAAGCAATCAAATCTAATATCTGAGCATGATATTAATTAATATGGCCAACATGCATAAATACCAATTATGGACACACCAGGGCAACCAATCAAAACTATAAATCTGACTGAGCGGAAGTTATGAACTCTACCAAAGAACAATAAATCAACTTTGAATTTACTAGCAAAAGAATTCTAAATACCAAATAAATAAATAAATAAACAAACAAACATATGTTCATGGCAATGATATTAAGGAGGAGTAGATAGCAATAATTGTTTAGAAAGCAACATATGAGACAGATGGATCAAGGACTTACCGAGTAATGGAACGAGGTGTCTATGTCGGAGACGATTAATGATGGTAAGCTCGGCCAAGAAATCATCCTGTCCCTTAATGCTCTCCCTGGAGAACCACTTCACGGCCACCTCCAAATTCTCAGCCGGTAACAACCCTTTATACACCACACCGAAACCACCTTCACCCAACTTATTCTTCACGTGAAAATTGTCGGTGGCTTTCTTCAAATCCTTAAAATGGAACTCCCTAGGCATCCCGGGCAAGCTCTTCAGAGCCCTGAGGATGTTCGGGTCCGATCTCGCCAACCTCCTCCTATAGAAGTAATAGCACAAAGCCATCGATCCACTCACTAATAACGCCACTCCGGGCACTCCAACTCCGAGGACGATTTTCAACCACGGATCCTTGTCAGGATAGTACTGAACAGTCAGGTTCCACCTGAGCACGCAGTTCAACTGGGTGGTTTTGCCAGTTGAAGCTGCAAATCCGAAATAAGAATTCTGGGCTACCACATCTCTGAGGTCGAGATTGGATTTCACCAGCACCGGAGAGGATGGTCTGGCTGGTGTCGGACCCTTCTCCGAAGCTTGCTCTATGAAAACCTCAATGGTCTTGTTGATGCCGTCGTACTGGACCCAAACATTGTAAAACTTGGCTCCTGGAGGAACGAGCTCAATGTCAAGTGATGATAACAACACGTTCTTGATGGATCGGATGCTGTTGATGTTTAGGCCGATGTGGTTATCATCCGGATCGAAGTCCTGCTTGAACGTGTCGAACTCGACCGCGACCAAATGGTTGGTGGAGTTGCCATCTGTGGTGGAGTTTGTCAAGCCCATGTACTGGCCCTCGCTCCCGGGAGGTATGGCCTTGTCCGGGAAAATCCCGAAGGCTAGACCTTCGCCCGGGGAGGTCGAATTATTCAGCCGATAGATGTTGATGAGAAAGGAGGAGTTGAAGGACGCAACTCGGGACGAATTGGACGAGTGGACTTCTTGATCGTCCCAGAGCTTGAAAGATCGATTGAGAAGCACTCTACCTGACCGATTGAAGAGGTTGACATTGCCGGCCGAGTCAGGGGTGACTTGAAGGGCGCCCTGGTTGATGGCCGCAGGGGGTTGGATCGCGAAATTGTGCTTGTTGGAATCGTTGAACGAATCGAATTTGACTTGAAAGTTTTGTGATCCGAAAACTATCTCTGCGGACAAACAGAGGAGGGGGAGGATTGTGAAAAGCTTCGCAGTCAGGCCCATGATGTATTGAACACCCAACGAAATCGGAAATGGAGATTGACGAGTACTCAAGAGAATATATAGAGAGATTTGGTTTTGAATTGAGGTTTGAAGGTTCTTGGTCTCATGCTTCAACATTGCTCGGAACTTGCACTTTTGCAATAGTTCGGACTATGTTAACAAAACCCGTGGAAAAGAATTTGGCGCAATCAGGAGAAAGTTCAAAGTTGTTGTATTTGATAGTACTTCCAAACCATATACCATTTTACTTTTCACATTAAATTGGATGTGAGATAAGAGTTTTGCCCATTATATATTTAATTATTCCCTAAACAAATTAATTCATATCAAAGTGAATTAATTAATTTTTAAATTATTTTGCGTAAACAAATAGAACTTAGGGTTTCACAACCCTACTCATTTCTGTCTTAAGAACAACACTCTCCAACAAACTTCTACAAAAATCTCAAGTTACTCTAAAGTTAATTGTGGGATTATTAAATTTTCTTATTTAATATTTGCATTATTATTTAATGAGGACTATAGCTAATAATGGTGTATAACAATCTGTGTGTCAACTATCAAGCCAATCGTAAGAGCGTATATAAGGGGATGATATGATTTTAGAGTCATTCCTGGTAATGCAATTGATTGTACAGTAGTATATAGTCTTTGGCTGACAGGACCTGCCTTCAAGAAAATAAGAATATACCCATAAAATTTCACATATTAATTAATTAATTGAATGGCGATATGTCAAAACATCAAAGTCAAGGCGAGGAATCACACGGCTTTGATTTTTAAGAATTTAATATTTTTAACAGAATAATTTTTATTATTATTTTAATGTATAATAGTGAATGGATTATTAAATTTATCTGTCCATAGTAATGTAATTGTTTTATTTTTATAGGTTAAATTAATAATATTACAAAAATAGTATATTGACTTTTTAAGTAAGACTTAAAAAAATTGTAAACAATTTATTTAGCAGCAAATTTAACATTATTCCAAAACAAAACTTATGCTTAATTGAAGTATATGGACTTGAGTTTAGGCCCAAAGTTATAGTACAGAATATGGGTACTAGAATTCCTTATTCAAATGGCCCTCTTGAACTGGGACAGCAATTGTCTCCGGGTCGGCCTAAAAGAACCCAGAGCACCAAAAATTATGGACCCACTTTTCAATATTGGATATGTAGGCCCAAATACTTGGATTGAGCCCATAATTTGCTTTAGTTTTGGCCCATTTGGACCAGCCCATCCCGACTTCAAGTTTGCCTTAGTTTTGCCCATTCTGATTTCTAAACTAAAGACGAACTTTACATCTAAAATGCGTTTTACACCCTGTGTAATTGTTTGATACAGACCTACTTAGAATATATTTAAAATGATGCTCTTCAATATTTTGAGGTGTACAATTATTCTTATTACTTCTCTTCTTTAATTCCTTATTATTGTGTCTTATAATTGATTCTCACTTTTTATTACATTTCTTCTTCTTCTAGACTTTCTTCCTTTAACTATTTGCATTATTATTCCCAAAATCACATTCCTTATATTATACTTTATGTTTCATTTAACCATTAATTGGCGAAAAAATAATTGGCCAATAAACACGTTCGAGGTTTGCCTTAGGCCTCAACTAATATTGAGCTAGTTTTTCGACCCTCAGATATACTTAAGTGAATCTCCACTTAAATGCATCGAAAGAAAAATCTTCAAAGAGACCCGTATTCTAACTTACACTTATCATGATTAAACCATTTGGTTAATGAATGCATCAAACATTGATATTTCACATTCTATAACCAGATGGTCAAATTAGCACCTAATATGCAAAAATTACAAGTTACAAATACAAGTCTTATAATATAACACCACCCATCAAAATATACAAAATAGCCTCCCTCCCCACCTCACAATGAACAAATTTAACTACAAACATTGAAGAGAAAAGAAAAAGAAAAAATATGAAATCTTCAGATTTTCTAATCCGAACAAAAAATAAATTAACCAAAGCAACTACACCAAAGAGTTGTCACTAGTGTATGTAACATAACTGTCTCTGCTGTGGAGTTGTGGAGACCACCCCGACTCAAAATGGGAGGTTGCATACGTAGTGTCCAATGTAGTGGCAGAACTAATATCTTCTCCCTCCAGCCCCGCCACCGACGGCCACACGAAAGGCGGCTTGAACGGTGGCACATGCGGCACGGCCATCATCCCGGACACAATCTGAAGAATCTCCTTGGCGTCCAACCTCTCACTGGCTATTGGATGGCAGCATGACAACCCTACAAGCAGAACCCTCTCCGCCTCCTCCGCCACGTAATCCTCCCGGAGCCGCTCGTCCACCGCCTCCCGCAACCGCCCCTCACGGTGCAAGAACCACACCCAATCCACCAAGTACTGAAACGCACCTATCCTAGTGCCAGGCCTTTGGCCAGACACTACCTCAAGCAACACTGCACCAAACGCGTACACATCACTTTGCTGCGTGGCTTTGGCCGTGTGGAAGTACTCCGGGGCAATGTAGCCGGGGGTTCCGAGCACGCCTGCGGCCTCGGTGTACGAGTTCTTCTCGTGGTCGAGGGCGCGAGCTAGGCCGAAGTCGCCTAGCCGGGAATTGAAGTTGGAGTCGAGCATGATGTTGCTGGCCTTGAGGTCGCGGTGAACCACCTTTTGGTCAAACTCGTTGTGGATGTAGTGAAGAGCTGAGGCCAGTCCGGAGATGATCTTGTAGCGGAGGTTCCAGCTCAAGGGTTGCTCGTCGGCGGTGGTGCCGAAGAGGTGCTTGTCCAGGCTGCCATTAGGCATGTATTCATACACCAAGAGCAGCTTCCCATTCTTGTGGCACCATCCTGCATGTGACAGAAACACATATTTATGTTACTCTATATGTATGCAGATATATAACATTTATGAATTGAGATTCTCTGTCATAACAGCATCGTATTATACGAAGAACTGTGATCACTCAAACTTATTAAAAATCACAAGATGCATGCGGATGAAGCAATTTTTATACATTGACTTTATGCAAAGCCTGCAACTCATGAAAAAGTTTTGATATATTTATAGGTGTCATCATATTATTAATTTTTGGGTCCATATAGTTTTATCAAATCATATAGATATAGTTATGTGAATTGGAATAAACTTTGCAATCAACTTCGAGTTTAACTGTTTAATCTACGAAAATTCAAGTGTATACATCATAAATTTAACATTTTAAAGTGACCATATGGCCCTATGGGATAATATATAACTCCATTTGTTTCCTTCTAACATCTACTAGGTCAAAAGCCATCAAACCTAATATTTGAGCATGATATTAATGTAACCAACATGCCTCAAACGGGATTAGTAAAGGACACGATGGGGTCCACTTCACTTCTTCTAATTTGTCAACTCTAATGGGGTCCTTCAATGAGTACAAATAGGAAGTAGGAACTTGCAGTGCATGTTACAGCTTGCAAAATTATACAATACACACATCAATATATCTAAAGTCAAAAGTCAAAAAAAAAAATTATAGAAAAAAACAAAAAACTATGAACCTTCCTAACAAAAAACCAAACGTGAGGAAGACACAAAGTCACTGTCACGGACAAAGTCTTAAAGTCATTTTTTTTTTTTTTTTTTTAGGTTTAACAAATTTGAGTCTTATCTTTTGCTTTTGAATAAAATTCAAACGTGCTTGTCGTGTGTGACATGAAGTTGCTTTCATGATGCGGAAGACAGCTATGGCAATGACGGTGTCTACTTACGCAAATTTCATTGTCAGCAAGGTTTATTTGGTCCAAGTTTTGTATAGATTAATCAAAGTTGTCATATTTTTAATGGATTTTGGACCCACCACATGTGGTGGGTCCAAACCCGTAACCCAATGGATACCTAGAAAAAGAAATAATATAAGAAAAGAAGTCTGAATTGTGACAAGTGAAAGGAATATAACATCATTTTTTTTTTTTTTTTTTGCTTTTTTTGACTAAAAAGGATATGTGTTGCTGAATTCCAAATTTGAGAAAGAAAAACAAAATTTTCATTAGATACTCACACATCCATGTGTCTTCATATGAAAAGTAAAGATGTGATACTGTTATCATGTACTAAAATATCTTATGAGTAATTAGGATATGTATTTTAATTTTTGAGATAATTGAGTCCTAAAAACGTCACTAATATTTGAAATGATAAGAAAATAATTATTTTCTCTTATTAAAAATATATATATATATATATATATCAACAGGCCTGTGCCTGTGCCTAACGGTAAAAAGAATCCTACTTTTTAAAGGGAAGTCAGGAATTCAAATTTCAGTGGAGGACTGATGAAAAATAAAACAAGTTATGAGATTATTTAAGATGTTACTATAATGATTTAATTTAAGCACTTAATTTCTTACAAGTGTTGTAAGTTTTTAATGAAGGAGAAGTATTCTCTTATTTAGCTAATTCTGAAAAGTGTACTCAATTAAATGGAATTACAAAAATAATATACCACTAATTTTTACCTAATATTATCTTATTTAGATAATTTTGAAAAATTGCACTCCCTATTTCTCAAATTAAGTCTCATCTCTGATAATTATGACTCACAACAGTGTGAATCAAAATTACAAAATGTGACACTTAATTTGAGAAGAAAAGAATACTCAATTAAATAGAATTACAAAAATAATACCACCTGCTTGTGAATCATGTTGTCGACAGTTTCTCAAGTTGACAGCAAAAGGTTAAATGTCTAGTACACGCAATAAATGAAGGTCCCCATAGTCGATAGGTATCATAAATAAGGCATGTTTCAAAGTCCATTCATTAGCCTTGTCGAGTTACAATAGCAATCTATACTTCCAAGATTAATTAATGCTCACAGAAATAAAATTCGAGTAAAAGAAAATCGGATAGAATGATAATAATTCTATTATAGTCCAATCATTAATAGTAGTATGTATGGTCACAAGGAAGAACTATTATCATTTTCTTATGTCGTTTTCATTTATGGTGTGTCTTTTGTTTTTACCTTATGCAATAATAATTACGGTTTTAGTAGGTAACCATTTATGTTTATAATTTATTATTTTTATAAACAAATTTTAAAGAAAAATATGTTTGTTAATATTGTTTATATTTTTTGATTATATAAATTCACTTATATTACTGCCCACATAGGTTAATTTTTTTAAACGTGAGAAGGACGTTTATATGATTATGCGTTTATGTCTATAATTTTTTTTTTTTTTAGTAAGAAAACAGATAATAAAAAAGCAAAATATTCATTCTAGCCAGGATCTTAATGTTGGTGAGGCCAAAATTATAAACAATATTACATAGTTAAAACTTTTGAAAAAATTATATATTACGTAGGTAAAAATATATTACTATTTATTATATTCATACAAAAATATATATTTTTTAAAAAAAACTAGTTATTTAAATAAATTGTTTATCAAACTTTCTGATCAAACACAAATAAGATTTATGCCAAAATTATAAAAATAAATTCAATTAAATAACTCTCTTTATTTACCGAAAAGAAAAATAATAATAATAATAATTTTAAAAAAAAAAAAGAAAAAAATTGAAAATTTAACAAAACAATAACAATGATAAATAAATAAATAAATAACACACAAACAAATTAATAAAATAAGAATTTAGATTCTTAAATCATCAATTTTTGTTGATATTCAAAATTTCAAATGAAATTTTTGTTCTAGATTTTGTAAAAATTAATTTATTATAGAATTTTTATAAAAGCATTCCAATAAAAATAAATAAAAAGAAAAAGAAAAAAAAAAGTGATGGAACGAATCATGTATGAGATGGATATTTAGGATAATAAAGTTATGAAAAAAATTATGCTTGAGTTTGAAGAATTTTAAAATAGTCACATTATGGAAAGAATGGTGTTTGAGTTGAAATTTTAAGATAGCCACATTAAATTTTTATCTGGTTTTATAGTCGTCAATTAAATCACTTTCTTTTAAATTATATATATACTATCTTTTGTTAAATGCTAATTAAAAAAAATTCTTAGGGGGCCAGGTATAGATTTTATACCATATATTATATACTATTATATTTTTATCTATACTAAAAAAAATTCCAAAAAATTAACCCTGGTTTTAGATAACCAAGAAGGTCACATTTCACTGAAGATCAATAATTTTTTGACAAGCACCCAATTTACTAAGGTTGTGAACAACCTTGTTAGAGAGTAATTGGACACTTCATAAATACTTTTATTATTTGTTTAAAATTGATGTTGAATTTTTAAAAAATAATTTAAGTTAAACAAATATATTTTTTTATATATTATTTTTAAAATAAGACAAATATTTTTACGTTATCAAACTCTCTCTCTTTCTCTCTATATATATATATATATGAGAAATGATAACTCTTCCGATCTCAATTACCGATTCTTCTTACGAATACAACGTGGTTGGATCACGTTGAAATTCTTAAAAAAAATTTCGTAAACATCTCTTTCTCTTCGACTTATTTCCAACCAAGTTGTATTTGGAGAAGGAGTCGACAATTGAAGTCGGAAGACTTATCATTACTCTACGTGTGTGGATGTGTGTTTTTTTAAATTTAAATAATAAACAATAAATAAAATCGACTCCCAAAACAGTGTCTGCATTAAATTATGCATTACAAGACATGTGCATAGAATTCCTCTTCTAGAAGTGAATCAAGCATACTATACCCAATCAACATGCTCTATTTATTTAGATCTATCTCACTTGCATAAAATAGCTCTCAACAAATTAAAATGATAAATGAACATCCTGATTAGGTGGGTATAATAATGATGTAGCATGGGCTGCTCACCAATATCAATATCCGAACGCCAGGTTGATCCGTGAAGAAAATATTTTTAAAACTTAATCTAAATTAGAGCAGGAGAAAGAACTAAATCTATTTTTACTTCACATTTTGATGAATCCATATTTCGAATTAAGAAGTTCACAGTAATAGTAGAAGATGGAACAGATATTGACAGTAAAAAAAAGCAACAAATGTAACCATGGATTGAGGACTTACCGAGTAATCGGACTAGGTGTCTATGCCGGAGACGATTGATGATGGTAAGCTCGGCCAAGAAATCATCCTGCCCCTTCATGCTCTCCCTGGAGAACCACTTCACGGCCACCTCCAAATTCTCACCCGGTAACAACCCTTTATACACCACACCGAAACCACCTTCACCCAACTTGTTCTTCTCGTGAAAATTGTTGGTGGCTTTATTTAAATCCTTAAAATGGAACTCCCTGGGCATCCCGGGCAAGCTCTTCAGAGCCCCGAGGATGTTCGGGTCCGATCTCGCCGACCTCCTCCTATAGAAGTAATAGCACAAAGCCATCGATCCAATCACTAATAACGCCACTCCGGGCACTCCAACTCCGAGGACGATTTTCAACCACGAATCGTCATCATTTTCAGGATAGTACTGAACGGTCAGGTTCCACCTCAGCACGCAGTTCAACTGCTGGGTGGCGTTGCCGGTTGAAGCTGCAAATCCGAAATAAGAATACTGGGCTACCAGATGTCTGAGGTCCAGATCCGATTTCAGCACCGGAGAGGATGGTCTGGCTGGTGTGGGACCATCCTTTGAAGCTTGCTCTATCATGTACACCTCAATCGTCTTGGCGATTCCGTCGTACTGGACCCAAACATTGTAAAACTTGGCTTCTGGATTTGGAGGAACGAGCTTAATGCCAAGTGGCGATAACGACACGTTCTTGATAGATCGGATGCTGTTGATGTTTAGGCCGATGTGGTTAGCGTCCGGGTCGAAGTCCTGTTTGAACGTGTCGAACTCGACCGCGACCAATTGGTTGGTGGTGTTGCCATCGGTTGTGGAGTTTGTCAAGCCCATGTACTGGCCCTCGCTCCCAGGAGGTATGGCCTTGTCCGGGAAAATCCCGAAGGCAAGACCTTCACCGGTGGTGGAATTCAACTGATAGATGTTGATGAGGAAGGAGGAGTTGAAGGACGCAACTTGGGACGAATTGGACGAGTGGACTTCATGATCGTCCCAGAGCTTGAAATGCCGATTGAGAAGCACTCTTCCTGACCGATTGTAGAGAGTGAAAGTATTGCTGCTGGCCGTGTCCGGAGTGACTTGAAAAGCGTCGTTGTTGATGGCCGCAGGGTACTGGATGGTGAAATTGCCCTTGTTGGAATCGTTGAACGAACTGTATTGAGCTTCAAAAGTTTCGATGTTTTGTGAACCCAAAACCGTCTCGGCCGAGAAACATAGGAGGAAGAGGAGGATTGTGACGGGATTCGCGGTCAGGCCCATGTATTGAGCATTCACTCGAATCGAAAATGGAGATGGAAAAGAGAGAGATGAGTGGGTGGGGGAGTGTTTTTTTTTTTGTTAGTCCATTAGAATATTTAGAGAGGGAGAGAGTGGATGGGTTTGAATTGGAAGTTTGAATAGGTTATTGGTCTGATGCCGCTGTCTCATTGCTCGGAAGTGGCACTTCTGCATTAGTTGGACCATATATGCAACATGTGTGTGTTGTCATTTCTTTTTAGGATATTGTTTTTGCGTTTCCCAAGTTTATTCAACGTTAGTTGGCTTCTCTAATTAACCTTATTCATGAAACAGACTTGTTGGGTTGATCATATCATGCATGAGTAAGTCCGTGTGTCATTGTGGGGGGTAGGTTTGATGTACGTATCCTTAGCGAATTATTATGTAACGACTTTGTATTTATTCGAAAGGTTAAGTTATTAACTAGTGCTGTATTATTCATCTATTATACTCATGTCATTTTTCATTTAGATTTGATGTGAGACAAGTATTCCTTGTAACATTCTTCTTTACCTAAACTCGTAATGCTCTCGTTGTGGTAGTGTCACCCTGCCTATCCGGGTGGCTTACCCGAATGCCTTCAGGACTAGACGTGACACCAGATCAATGACTAGTTATGACTCTAATACTAACTGTAACCAGGGGCGGAATTATTAATGGACTAATCTGGGCTATAGCCCAGGTCTAATAAAAAATAAAGTATTACTGTTCCTATAAGCCCAGTCCATATGTAATCAATTTTTAGTACTACTATTCTCCTTCCTATCAACCCAATTGTTCCTGTGTTTATAAATATCCAACTTTTCCATATTCCTTAGAACATGAGTAATCTTATTTCAAAATCTGAATAATTTATTAATTAATAGTTAAATGGATGTTAAAAATTAAATTGGATAATGTTTTATTTTATTTTTACCGGGAAACCAATTCCAATGGATACTTTGATGGATAATAAACATATTTTTATACCGGACTCTAATTGAGATTTAAACTTAGTAAATTAGGTTTTTAGGTCTAATTATTTGGATATGAAACTAAGACCATATTGAACACAGTATGCCCTTTACCATATCTCACTTCTATAAGAAGGTTGTCTAGTATTTCACAACTTTTATTATATTCATCTTCAAATTTTCTTATCTTTAGCCCTCCTTACTTTACAAACTTAGCTCCGCCCCTGACTGTAATGGATGGGCGCTTACCTATTTACTCAAAAGTTTAAATTATTAGATAGTATTATATACCTATTCATTTATACTTATTTCACTTCCCATTCGAATCTGATATGAGACAAGTACCCTTTGTAACATCAACCCACTTCTTTTTGCATCTCTCTTCATTTCTTTATTGATATTTTTCATAATACAAGTACGAAAGTACTCTTCTAACCCCAATCCCGGCTACTCTCATTTAATAAATTACTTTGGAGGGTTGGGGTTGGAGTCCCCTCCCTTGCCTCCATTTGCCATGTACTTATTTTTATTTTGTTTTTAAATCCAACTACATCTTTGCCAAAAATAAAAACAATAATTCTTGACACTAATGATTAAACTCTTTTATAGTAAATCTATGAAAGAGAAATGTAATTTGTATGGCTTATTTCTATTTATTATTTTTTTAAAAAATATACATATATCTTTAAAATTCAAGGAGATTATGAAAATCATTTATTTAAAGGAGGCTCTTACTTATTAATTTGGAGGAAAGAATTTAAAATATATATATATATAGGACAAATTGATGCAACTTTTATCTCAATATTAATTTGTTTAATTTTTGCTAAACATTTTTAAATTTATATATCTTTGTTATAACTAAAAAGACATAACATAATTAGTTAAATTCGGTGCAAAATCGAATTCGAGCCACAAAAACTAACAGAATATTGTGGTCATGTGAATACCATTTTCTTATAACATTTGATGCATGGCCCAGTATTCTCTTTTTTGCTCAGGGAGTGAATTATTGTCACATATAATTATTTATTTATGTGAGAGAAGGCAAGAACAATTAATAATAATAATAAATTTAAAAAGCTGCCAGAAGCGTCCAACTTGACGTTGCGTATGACAGTCTGCAGATTCATACTCTGTTTTTCAAGCTTTATGAACTAACATTATTGAAGGAAAAAAAAGAAAAAAAAAAAAAAAAACATTATTATTATTATTTTCATCTAAAATAATCCTTTATTTTGTGAAGGACGAAAAACCCACCTATAAAGCAGAAAATAAAGCTAACTATAATATATTATATTAAGTATTAACCAGCCCACTTTTTCTCTCTCATGACTTTTCTTCCTTACAGAAGCTAAGAACTCACATCCATTCGGCATCCCACGTGGTTTCTTTAGGAAATTTCGCAATAATTTACATTGTGGAACGCGCGGTGGTTATATTCTTTTATATGTATAATAAATATAAATGTTTATTTTATCATTTTAAACGTAAAATATTTGCTGTCATTTCAATTATTAAAAGAGTAAAATTGACTTTTTATTAATATTATATTATTGACATCAACAAATTCTAATATTTGGATCGATGTCTAATAAAAGTGATCAAAATCTGTTACATAAATTAGAATCCTGATAGAGGTAAATTATTTATATTTGGCCACAATAGAACTCAACTCTCATTTATTTCATCATATTATTCATTTTACACTTTTTTTAAAAACTCAACATCTCATGTGTGTCGTATTACATGGAATGCATATGTATAAGTGATAAAATTCGTTCAACACGGTCAAATAAAATCCCATCACATTAGATTTGTTCTTATTTTGGGTAGACTTTTTCAAGCTATGCTCCTTCGGAATAAGAAGGGGTGGATGTTCTTCCTACCTAACAGCACAAGTTATAATAACATAAATCTTTGACTAAAATTACATATTTGACCGTGCATATGTATCACCCACTTGGAAGATTAATTTATATATATATATATATATATATGTGGAAAAGTTCCACAACTTGATGTAGACAACTGCTACACTAGCAAAGACATAATCTTAACCTATTTTAATTTATAAAATATAAATAAAGTCTCCACTAGATGGGGATGATTACTCAAAAATATTAGAACAAATGTTAACTCCTCCTTTTGCTGACTCATGAAACACATTTAAATACTGTTTGTATATATAAAGCAATATTACTAATTTATTCTTGACGTATATATGGTTCGTGAAGGTATTTTGTAATAACGTGTATGGTACTCGAGGCCTTAATTTTAAAAAAATCAAAATAGGGGGTGATCAATGTCAATACACAAAGTCTATGATTAATTTTTTATAATTTATTAACCATGGAAGAATTCAGTCTAGCAATAAAGTCAAGTGATTAAGTGTAACGGGTGGGCGCTTACCCAATTACCCAAAAGTTTGAACTGTTAGGTAAAGCTGCATACCCACCCATTTATACCCAATCTCTTTCCCATCCGATTCCGATGTGGGACAAAATCATTCGATTCCGATGTGGGACAAAATGACCCTTGTTACGTTAAGGAATGGGTTTGGTTACAATACGGATTTGAAGACATTTTTTTTTTTTTTTTTCTCATTTTTAGTGAAAAGAATATATATATATATGACAAGTAGGCACTCGCCATTTGTCACATTACGTGGAAGGAATAAAAGAATTGTTGATAACCAAGAATACTGAATATCATTAAAATCTAAGTATTGAAGGATTTAAATCTTCTTCCTTGTTTTTTCTTTCTTATATTTTTCAAGCCAAATTTCTCACTACGTTACTATGTTGAAAATTATTGTGTTATTTTGGAGAGTATGGAAGATTATTAAATTTGGATCTTTTTCTTTTTTTTTGGGTAAATTATTATTATTATTTTTTAGAGTACGAACTATTGTGTTATTTTTTGAGAGTACGAAAGATTATTAAATTTGGCTTAAATATTGAGGGATTTGGATCTTCCTTCTTTTTTTGGGTAATTTTTTTTTTCTTTTTCTATATTTTTCAGTCTATGCTAAAAATTATTGTGTTATTTCCGAAAGTACGAAAGATTATTGAATTTGAAATTAATATCAAGGGATTTGGATCTCTTCCTTGCTTTTTCCTTCGTATATTTTTCAATGTGAGATAGGGACGTTGAGAACACTCTGTGTTAGTTGATTGACATTTGTTTTAATTTTTCCGAAACATAGTGTAACGAACTTATTTATAAAATATATAATCTAATTCAAATTTGTGGACAATCCTACCCTACCATTTAGAAATCAGGACACTTATTTATAAAATATATAATCTAATTCAAATTTGTGGACAATCCTACCCTACCATTTAGAAATCAGGACTTTCAATTCTTTGACCACCATTTTAGGTCAACCCATGTGAACAAATTTCCTCAAGGCTATTGGGTCACAACTAGGGATGGCAACGGAACGGGGTGGGGTAAGGATTCCATTCCCCATCTCTATTCTCGATGCATTTTTCATTCCCCATCCCTGTCCTCATCCCCGCTTATAATTTTGCCAGAATCCTCATACTCGCCCCCGCCCCCGATACCTTATCCTCGTCCCCGACCCGCTCCGCCCCTAGCCCCGGCTTCATAATTTTTTTTATTAAAAAAAAACACATTTTTTCTTATTTTCATATATATAATAAATCTAATTTAGTAATAAATTATTATATGTAAGGGTATATTAGTAACTTCACACTTAATCGGGGGCGGGGCGGGACGGGTTTACCCTATCCCTGCCCCCGGCAAGGATTCATAATTTGTCCCCATCCCCATCCTCGTTTAACTAAAAGGATCCTCATCCCAGCTATAAACGAGGCGGGGCGAGGCCCCGACGGGGATGGGGAATTTGCCATCCCTAGTCACAACTACCGGGGATGAAAGAAAGTAACCAAACTAGGCCCATTTTTCAAATACAAAACGGCCTTGGCCCAAATATCAAAGCCCAAATCCAAATTTCAATCTAGTTTGGACAAATACCTTTTTGGTATTTAAAAAAACTCCTACATTTTTCAAATTAAGCAAATAAAGATATTTTTTTTGTCAATTTAAAGACAAAAATATATAAAAATAAAAAATATTGATTTCAATCCTGACTCTCGGATTGAGAAAATAGCGTCACAACTCACAAGAGGGAATTAATAATTTTGCCACTAACTACAAATATTATTAAAATTATGGTACGTTGTATCCCTTGCAACTATTATAAACAGTAGTACATGAATGTTTTTTTTATTTTTTTTGGTTAAATGGTACATGAATGTTAGTTGCCACTAACTACAAATAATATTAAACTATGGTACGTTATTGTATCCCTTACAACTATCATAAACAGTG